AACGGGAAGCTTACGGAATCCTTCAAAGTGAGGACAGGAGGAAGACAAGCTGGCTGCCTACTATCGCCAATGATTTTCCCGATTGCAGTAGATTGGATAATGTGACAGAGAGCGGGCAGGGCAGCAGTGAAACAGGCATAAAATGGACCCACACAGAAAACTTGGAGGATTTGGACTTCGCCGATGATATATGTCTGATTTCCCACAAACTGGAGGATATGCAAGCGAAAAGGAACAAGTTGTCATAAGAAGCATCCAGAGAAGATAGGACTTCAGGTGAACATAGAGAATACAGAAGTGATGAAGATTCCTGGACAAGAACAACGACAGACAACGATCAGCATAAATGGGAGGAACCTGAAAGAAACAACCTCTTTTACCTACCCACCTACCTGGGAAGCATCGTTTCAACTACAGGCCGACGGAACTGACGAGGATATCAAGCAAGAATCAGAAAAGCAAGACAAGCCTCCATTACTTGCAAGTCTGTGTGGAGGTCAACAACACTATTCAGCATGAATATAATAAGATCCGGATTTTCAACTCCAATGTGAAATCAGTGCTACTCAGTATACGGATCAGAGACTTGCACTACGCGTCATAAAGAGCATCTCAAACAAACTACAGACCTTCATCAACAGCTGCCTTAACTCAATACTCAAGATCAGATGGCCGGCTAGAAAAGATCAGCAACAGGTTGGGATCTCTGGGAGCGAACCAACATAGCAGGAACCGATTGTGCAACAAATAGGCAGGAAGAAATTGAGATGGATTGGCCATACTCTGAGGAAACCATCAAGTGACATCACAAGACAGGCCATTGCTCGAGTGGAAACCGAAAGGGAAGCGGCGAGTTGGTCTTCAGTGCAAGGGTGACTTTGTAGGCGGAGGTGATGTGAAGAGGAGATGAAAGCGTGTGGCAGACTTGGAGCCAGGTGAAGACTCTAGCAGAGAACCGAAAGTCATGGAGACGCACGGCTGAAGCTCTATGTTCCTCTAGGAATTAAAGGAAACAATAATAATAACATAATAACCTTTTTATTATTTCTGACATCGTATACAATTTTTACAAATCTGTTTTCACGACGTTTATCATTGTTTTCATGAAACACTACAATTTTGCGTGATGAAACTAACATAACTTTAAATCATCATAGTAACAGCAAAGAAAGTGGAATACTAAACTGATGCGTTATTACGACAGTTATATCGTAGACTGAAAAGTGTGTCCACTTCACTAAGACTGATTTTAAATTAAAAATGCAGTTAAATTCCTGCAAACCAAATACTTGAATATCAGTGACGGAAAGTTTCACTTCCTCGACATCGCCTTGGAACTCCTAGAAGACGGTAGTCTTCAAAAGTCAATTTATCGAAAGCCCGCATGGAAAGGACAATACTTACATTTTAAACGTGGTCTAGTCAAGAATCTGTACTATAGAACGAGGAGAATATGCTCTATAGAGAAATAAGAGGAAGAATTTGATTTTGTTGAAAAGATATTGAAGAGCAATGAGGGTACCCTCAAAGGTTCATCACCAAGTATGCAAGATCTGAAGTCACAAATGTAAAACAAATCACAGTAGGAAAAAAGCCAATCTACTTTCAGCTTGATTATAAAGGTGAAAACATTGCAGCGATGATCAACAGAAGGCTGAGTACATCACTGGCCATAGCCTATCCGGCAGCTAAGCTCGTTCCCGTCTATCGAACATCTTGCTCTTTGATGCAATCAAAAATCGATAGATATCCTTCTCATGTTAACAATTCCAACTGTATATACAAATTTACATGTATCTGCAGAAGCAGTTACATTGGAAGGACAAAAAGAAGGGCATATCTACGATTTTCTGAACATGTACCAAAAAGCTTACGTCTAAAGGGAACAAATGCTTTAAACAGTGCCATCGCCAGGCATCTCCTCGACACGGGTCATGAGGTGGATGTCGAAAAGTCGTTCAAAATTATCAATAGACAAAAGAGTTCAATTCTCCTTAAGTTTGCTGAAGCCATTTCCATCCAGCGCCTGAAACCTGATTTATACGTCCAGAAAGAAGCGGTTATCAGTCTTTCTTTGTCTTTGTAGATACATTCAATAATGTCTTTGCTCTGTAAGCAGCTGACGAGAAGGCGACGAAATAAAAGATGGTACCATTTTATTCTGCTAAAACTGTAGTTCTTGCTTTGTTCAAACTTGAATATCACCCTCAAGCTCACTGGTAATCTGGTCCTATTCACGTAGGTGGGTAGTTATCTGGGTTCCTAGTGGTAGTAGCGGGAAGTCGTGACCAATGGGGTTGTTTGTGAGGACACATACTCTCCAGCGATAACACTGGCTAGTAGTCGGACCATGTCGTGGACAGGCAGAAGTTGAAATTTATGGACTGTTTGGTTGGGGGTCCTAGTGGCTTTTAATGGTCTACGAGCTAGCTCTCTTTGTAACCGGAAGCTCCTGGTTTCGAGCTCCGGTGGGTGAAAGGTTTCAAACTGGAACAGTCGAAACAGCTGTCCATAACTCCCTGCAGGTGTTTCAGTGGCTCTCTAACCGATGTCAGCTCATGATGAAATCCTGTAGCCATTCATATCCCTGTGAACCGACACTTGCATATTAAAATTTTACAGGTAACCAGTTTTCTTCGAAATCCTTAGTTATCAAGTGACTTCTGGGAATTGTTCTCGCATTTAGTGTATAATTTCGATCCAGTTAACAAGTTTTGCCGAGCATCATAATCAGATCTGTGTAACACACTGTATATGTGTATAGTCTGGTAATAATAATAATTTGCTTTATTCCAAAACAGTACATGTGATACAGAATGGAATTCTCAGCATTTTTACTACAGTATTGCATCCAGTTAGTACATTATCAATAAATAGAATTCTACATAGATTGAGGAAATCACAGTTCATTATTACAACAACACATTGGCATGTCGGTAGCAAAGGAAAAGCTGAAACAGTGTTTGAAGGTGTTAGAAAAGTGGGAGCTGTCTTATTAACTGGCGTAAGCGAGAAAAAGAAACAAAGCAGCAAATAACAGAAAAAAAGAGAGAGAATAGCAAAAGAAAGAAAGAAAATGTTGTACCTATAAATGATATGAGTTGGAAAGACGAGATCCAGTTGTTCTACTGAGTATTTAATAAGTTATAGGTATCACGCCTAATGCTTTCTTCATCGCACAGAACACGAGCTCAGTAGGGTATGGTTGAGTTTTGTACTTGCTGGTGCGAGCATATAGTTTTCTATGTAGGCTTCTGGTTTTACCTGATGAGATGCAAGGGGAGAGTTGTGAATGAATGGGTTGGTGTGAGTTAGATGAAATGGATTTGGCCCATTTTTCACATGAGTCCAAGTGCCTGTCGACCTGAATATTAACAAGCTGGTTAAATGGCACGTTGCTTACCCTGCTGACAGCCTTTAACATCCTGCGTAATATGTTATAGTCTTTCTTCAGTAGCCCGGGAAAAACTAAGGGGGAACAATAGAGTATAATAGGCAGAATGCGAAAGTTAATGAATTGTAGGAGTAAGGGTTGGGTTATACCAGAATGTTTCAACTTCTTGATGTAGAAGGTAAGACGGAATATTTTCTTAGAAATCGTCAAGATATGAGACGACCAGGAGAGATCAGCAGACAGAATGACTCCTAGGTATTTAATTTCCGATTTGGTTTCTATTTCAGTGCCATCTATGTTGCTCACCTCGTGAGAGCTAACCAGTTTGTTTAGGTGAGATTTATGCCTAAAGGTGAAATTGACTGTTTGGCATTTGGAGGGGTTTAGGGTAAGACCGTTTTCGTTGGACCAGAATTGATATATCTACTTTTCATTTGTTCGACGTCAAAAGTTTTGCAAGACATTTGTTTTATCTATGGAAATATCATGTTTTCTCGCCTTTCCTTATTATTATTATTATTATTATTATTATTATTATTATTATTATTATTATTATCTGTCAGGATTGTCATTATACAATACGTGGTGGTCGGTGTGTGTTCAGTGATTCAAATACTCCGTCATATCAATCCCCAATTATTACACTCCAACTGACAATATCTCCATCACAGTCGAAATCTGTGCCACCATTACTCAGTTTAGGACAGGTGGAAAATTTATTTCATGAATGGGGTCATGCCTTGCATTCAATGCTGGCGCGTACACGATATCAGCATGTCACGGGAACACGGTTAGTCAAAAAGAAAAACGTTTTGCTTGGTTTCATCTGTGTAAATTATTATTTTTTTGATAAATAAAAATCTTTTTATGAAATCTTTCCTGGTTAAAAGACAAATGTGCTAAATTTTAAAAAATGTGTAAAATATAAACTGTCAGATGTGCATATTTTCTTTCATGAGTGTATGCATATTTTATCACTGATTAGTTGAGTGCTGAGAACTGTGAAGTTACTTCTTTTTTTAAAAAAAATATGTCGATGCGGTGCTGCAAACCTTTATTGACCTCATACAAAACAGATATATGAATCTGTCACATGCGCGGAATGATTCACAGCGGAAAAACCAGCGAAGCTCTTAAAGTAGTGAAGACAGGAGTAAGACAAGGCTGTCTGCCTATCACCTGGATCATTCTGAAGAAGATGGGGGGGGGGGAACGAGAATACAGAAATATGTTGGATCGATGACAAGACCCTAAAAGATCCCGACTTTGTGGACAATTTCTGTCTAATGTCACTCAAACTTGAAGATCTACAGGCGAGAACCAAAAAGTTGAAAACAAAACACGTAGATCAGCGAAGAGTCTCTTTTCGGCGGCGAATTCATTTTCTCAGCTGTACAATCGCACATATATATATATATAGGTTATTTTGTATGTATGTGTACATTAAGTTTGTCAAACAAAAATACAATTGGTTATGGTTATTTTAACTAAACAGGTGAAGATTGGTAATTGGAGTTACGTAATACAAAATCAGTCAAGAAAATTGGGTGTTATTGAAATTAGGGTAGTAACAAAGGTGATGAGTTGTCACAAACAGTTGTTAAAAGAAGTTATGCAATAATATGAATAGCTTGATGAGTGAGTTTTACTCAGGATGCACATAGGAAAAAAGTAGATAATACGAAATTACGTAAGAGTTCTAAATGAATACAAGAATTATAAGCAATTAAAGAACAGGCAAAGAAACAAAATTAAGTCATCAGAATAAAATAAAAAAGTTGTTACCAAGACAGTAGAAGTGGTTGAGTAATCCTCTTTTGTATGCACAGCTCCGGTTTTTCTGTGTGAATGGCCAGAGCTTCAGCGATACAAAGAAGGCGAAACCGTATTGCCTTTGATAGGTTATTCTTGACTCTGTAGATTACTTTGAAGGAGGCGTTTGTTGAAATGGAATGATCAGTGTTAACCAGGTGTTCAATTATCGCACTCCTCATTGCACCACTATTGCCTTTTCGCAACCATGCTGGATAGTGTTCTTGAATCCTGTTGGACAGGGTGCGCGTCGAACGACCGATGTACCTGGCTCCACAGCAGCAGGTGAACTGATATATGCACATAGAAGTGGTCAGATGCGGGACAACGATTCCGCATCATCATCACTTTTTTTACTACCCTAATTTCACTAACACCTAATTTTCTTGACTGATTTTGTATTACGTAACTCCAATTACCAATCTTCACCTGTTTAGCTTAAATAACTATAACCAATTGTATTTTTGTTTGACAAACTTAATGTACACATACATACAAAATAACTCACATATATATTTGCGATTGTACAGCTGAGAATATGAATTCGCCACCGAAAAGAGACTCTTCGCTGATCTACGTGTTTTGTTTTTATTAATGCCTGGATGGGGATTATCCATGAACTAAAAAGTTGACAGAAGGGATTGGTAGCGAAGACAGGACTTCAAGTGAACACACAGAGAAGGCGGCGGGGATGAAGATGAGCAACCAATCAACTAACAACAACAACAAACGAAAATCACTGCCAACGGAAGAAATTTGAAAGAGGTCACTTGCTTCACCCATCTAGGGAGGCATAATCTCAACTACAGGCACTCCCCCCCAGGTATGAGGATGTCAAAACCAGCGAGGATCGGAAAGGCGAAGAAGACCTGCATCTCACTCTGAAATCAGTTTGGAAATCTTCTGCCTTGAACAGGAAAAGCAAGATTTGAATTTACAACACCAGTGTCAAATCAGTGCTTCAATATGGTTCGAGAGAGACTTGACACGTCATGAAAAGTATTTCCAACAGCCTTTTATATCAACTGGTGTCATAATTAAGAGATCAGATCGGACAGCACGAAAGAATTAGCACCAAGAAACTCTGGGAGCGAACCGATCAAGAATCTGTCACTCAAAATGGAGATGGATTGGATACACGCTGAAGAGACTGTTGCGTGATATTGTGCGCCAGGCCATCGCTTCAGTGGAACCCAAATGGAAAGTATCGAGATGGGCATTGGTCCATGGATGACATGGAATGGAAAAGATCGTCTGAAGAGATGAGAGTCAATGGGCAATCGTGGAGACAACTAAAGAAGTACTGCAGAAAACACGAGGAAATGGTTATGCCCTATTGAAGCCCTATGTTCCACTAAGAATCCAATGTAATAATAATAATAAATAATTAGTGACTTGGATTTCTACTTTCGATATATGGATGATGCATTTCTGGTTATGAAAGACGAGAATGATGCAATGAACATCCTTGACAAGTTTAATGATGCACATTCAGCAATAAACTTTACTATGGAGAAAGAAAGTAATGACAGTATCCCATTCCTAGACGTCTTCATGGCAAGGAAAGAAGATGGCACACTAAGAAGGAGTGTGTATAGGAAACCTACAACAACAATAGGTCAGTACACTCATTTTTTGAGTTTTGTACCTTTGAAATATAAACGTAACCTGGTAAAGTGTCTGGTTCATAGTCCTTTTTTTTCATTCACATTCCCCAGTGGAACATAGGGCTTCAAGCTAGTGGCTTGAGGTTTCTGTAGAAGTGTTTATTTTACAGGATGAAGTTGCTAGCCTCATGCCCAACCTTTCCTCTTCCCCAGCATTACTTCTGGCTTAGCGAGGTAAAGGAGTGCGTCGGCGGGGGATCGAACCCCGGACTATGTGCATGGTCGGCGAGCGTCCTAACCGCTATGCCACCGACGCCGTTCATAGAGCCAGGTTAATTTGTTTAAATGACTGCCTCAATGAGGAGCTTAAGATTATTCGAGAATTACTTAGAAAAAATGGTTATCCAGATAAATTCATTGAGAAAAATATGAATTCAGCACCAAGGAGGGTCAGTATAGCAACATTTCCGAAGAAACCAATGTTCATAAAATTGCAGTTCCCCGGTGACAACATTAGCGAAATAATAACACAGCGCCTGAAGAATGCAGTGAAAAGAGCTTATTATGCAGCAGAGGTACGCTGTCTCTTCACAACCATCCCTATTATACGTTCGAGAAATAAGGATAAACTACCTAAATTTGCCTCTTCTATGTGTATCTACCAGTTTGACTGCAGCTGTAGAGCCAGCTACATTGGGCGTACAATTAGGCAGTTTCATCATCGTATTTCCGAAAATCATCCAACATGGTTAAGCAAGGGACAAACAAGATCTATTCGTAGCTCTATTATTTTTTTCGTTTATTATCAACCCATTGACATGTTGACACTGACTAATTATTGTTAACAAACGTATCAGTGCCAATTGATTGGTAAACTGTTGTGTATTGTAATAAAAATGCAATACAGAATATATTAGAGTAGAGCCATAGTGAGATGAGGATCTAATTGAAAAGTAAATATTTCTTCGCTGCTCAATCTTTCTGTTTTATAAATAATTCTGACACAGTGCTCTCACAATATCCTCAATCAACTTCATTATTACATTTTGGATTTGCAAGAATTTGATTGATTTCAGAGCAGATTTTGTTACTAGCAGAGGATTCATGCACAGAAATATTGAATATCTCACTGGAGAAAGAGAGAGAGAGAGAGAAATGCTTCATCCCCTAGTGTATAACTATGCACTACACTGAGATCGGCTTCTTTTCCCATCTGTCTGGATTCAACATAGAACTTGGCACCGAAGTGCAGCAGCTCGAGTTGCCACGTTCCAAATACCACACAAAGGTAGACAAGAAGATGAGAGAAGAGAATCAATAGAGTTTTGACAAGTATAAGAGTGAAACAGAATGAGTAATGGTAGAAAGGAATATGAAAGATTACAGAGACTGAATGTATCTGCGTAAGCCATTGACAACGATTTTGAGCCATGTTACCTATTGTCTCCAGCCATTGATTCTTAGAGTCCCGAGGGCAGGCCCCAACCCGGAAGTCTGCATCTCCCTCCCTACCTGACTCAGTTTAACTGTCAGGGATTTCATGGATTGATGAGGCCATGTTTTTGTTTGGCCACCACTTACTCTTTTCCAACCTGCACCTTCTTTTACCATACATGCGAATTAACCCTTTATCTCATAAATTGTCTACTTTATCACAGTAGATTAGTTGAATGGATTTTTTGCATCTCTAGTCTTTACTAACCTATATTATTATTATTTATTATTGTCATTTTAAAGGTGCAGTACTGATTTAGCTGAAATCCCATCCACACTATTTGAACACTTTGCATTGGACTCACGTGTAACACTGGAATATGCCAGACATTGGAGAACAGGACGTAGACCGGATCCTACTGAAATGAAAATATTAGAACAATTATTTATTGCTCGTGGACTTGGTCAAAGTGTAGAAGTCAGCCAGCAGGTAGGCATTTCTTTATCATCTGATAGAAAGAAGAAACAAGAACTGCGACATAAACTTCAGTTCATTATTATTATTATTATACAATTTCAGCTAATGGTGGTTGCCTTAACTTATCAAATTAATCGATAAGTCTATAGAGTTCAAAAGTATAAGTATATGTGCGTCGGTGGCACAGCGGTTAGGACTGTCGCCGACCATGTACATGGTCCGGGGTTCGGTCCCCGGCCGACACACTTTTACCTCGTTAAGCCAGAAATAATGCTAGTGAAGAGGAAAGGTTGGGCATGAGGCTAGCAACCCCATCCTGTTAAAGTAAACAGTGATACAGAAATTTCAAGCCACTAGCTTGAAGCCCTATGTTCCACTGGGGAACGTGAAGGAAAAAAAATATCAACTGTCTATATTCATGATTCACGTCTGTTGTTTGAGGGTTAGTGACACATCCGAACTCTTGGTAATTGAAATATAATGGAAGTGTTAAGTTGTCTTGCTATATTATGCAATTCCAAGATGTTGTTGATTAGCGTAAGCACACAGATCAGAGTCAGACTCTCTCTCTTTCTGCTTACTTCATTCTGAGCAGCAACTGGTCAGCATGATCAGCCCTTATGTAATGAGTGTGATTCATAATCTAAAACATGAAAGAATATGTTCCCAGGGTAACAGTGTTCTAAGCAGAATTCGAATTATTCTCTCTTTCTACTTTGGTATTCGCTTCACGTGATTTATTGTTCATCCGTATCGAAAGTGATGACTGATTTACAAAAATTATGGATTGTAGACATTAAACATTAATGCAAAATAGTCATATGACATACATATGGAATATATGTGTATATCACTGTAACATTTCATGAAATGTTTTTTTGGAGGATTTCATCATGAGCTGACATCAGTTAGAGAACCACTGAAAAACCTGGGAGTACTGAACAGCTGTTTCGTCCACGTAGTTTGGGACTCTTCATCAGTACGCACCCGCCACCACGGTTCGAACCCAGGACATTCTGGTTACAAGGCGAGCTAGCTCGTAGACCACTGAGCCACCGGGACCCGATCCAATGACCAGCCTATGAATTCTGACTTCTGCTAATTCGCGACATAGTGCGACCATTTCGGAATGTCTTCTTCGATGTGTTACTGCCTCATCTTCAACCTGTTGTTGAAGAGTTCCAAACTAGGACGAAAAAACTTTCCAGTACTAACAGCTGGTTTTCCAATGGTTCTCTAACTGATATCAGCTCATGATGAAATCCTCCATGCAATCAAACAAAACCCCTACAAAAAACCAATACCTGAAAATGTGTTTTTGTCATTAAGAAGCAGTACTGACTGATATACAATTAAATCTATAGTTGCATGGATGATTTCATCATGAGCTGACATCAGTTAGAGAACCACTGGAAAACCTGGGAGTACTGGACAGCTGTTTTGTCCCAGTTTGGGACTCTTCAGTAGTACGTACCCACCGAGATTCGAACCCAGGACCTTCCGGTTACTAAGCGAGCTCGTAGACCATTTAGTCACAGGGACCCACCAATTCTAACCTCGATTAATTACTCTTTATTGATGAAATCATCTTCAGAGACTGTGCAATCGTATTTTATTGAGTAGTAGAAGGCTGGTGACATAACTGATCTAGTTAACTCAGAAGTCGTTTCTAAAATAAAATTAAAAATTACGCAACACTCATTTACCCAACAGAAAAAAGGGTCTGAAATTTGACCAGGTGAAAATTGTTATTGTATGAGAAGTCAGGTAGTTAAGCGTCCAGTGGACAAGTGTAAAGTGGGTGAGGAACTATACAAAAGGAACATGTAAGAGTGATAACAGTCAAATAATTATTAAAAATAAAAGCGGACGCTTAGGGAATAGATAAAAGTCTACACAAACTGTTTCTGTATACAGAGTTTGAAGTTTAACTGACGAATCATCAGCGCCTCCACTATACATAATGGCCGAAAGCTAACACCCCTTGTATTGTGCGGTTCCACCTTTTAGATAATCTTAGAGCACATCTCGGATAGAGCTGCATGGCCTGAGTTCACCAGATGTTCGAGAATTGAACTAGTAATTGTCTTGCATTATTCTCGTGCTCACCATGTGAGATGATGTTCTTAAGTGAGTTTTGAAAGTGTGTGGTTTGTGTGACCAATGTGACTAGCTTCAGAGGAGCAAGTGAATTTATTAACACACACATTGAAGTGGTCCAAGGCGGCAGATTCTCCTTCACACATCCATTGGTCATTTTCCAACTGTAGAAATTGATCCATAGCTCACCGTAAAATAAAGCTTTTCTCAGCGATTTGGATAAGCGGTTTTTCAGAATCTCACCTGTAGTATCACCCTGAAATTCAACATTCATAAACAGTCGCAGTTTCTTCAGCGATTGTGTACAGCCTCTGAAGATGATTTCATCGATAAGGAAAATCTGTCTTTTACTTTCTTATAAGTCAATGCCTATTTCCGGTCTTAAGTTGATTATTAAATAGAACCGAAATGCTCAGTCTATCTTGAAATGTCCACTCCAAGTACAGCTGCTTTGACCACACCATCCGACTAAATGAAAATTGCGCAAAAGTGAAGTTGTTCAATTTGTGCGCTCCAATAACACACAAAAGAAACGAAAAAGAAACATCAAGGAACTGCAATGAACGCAAATATGCGGAAGGAGGGCAGTGATAGTCAAATGCGTCTTGGAGTTCATAAGGAGCGAATGCATCCTGTGATATTGAGAACCACTTTCAGTCATATTGTAACAGCAGAAGGCAGGACACGAAAGCCAGGGTATATTTTCAAGTGATCAAACCTCTCTCTCTCTACCTATTTATATATATATATATACATATTCAATGCTAATGCAGTATTGAAATGTGGGAATTCGTGAGAATAATATTCCGTTGGAACACATTGTCTGTATCACACTACCGCAATTATCACCAACAGTCGATGGTCTTTGGCTCTTAGTGTTTCAACGACCCCGTCCAGTCTACACCCGCCTACATGACTGGTTCATATTATAAGGAGAGGAAAAGAAAGTACACATACGCTACTAATATTTACATGAAGATAATGCAATTAGTTCCATATTAGTTTGTTTATCAGATTTATCACACAGTCAGTGAAACAGTATTATTTACTGGATGACGTTTCGAACACAATTTTTTGTGGTTCACAATCATATCATCAGTTATAATCACACGACTTCGAAACTTGAGTTTTATAGTTTTCTTTAGCTTCTCCTTTTGTCGTCGTTGGGGTAGTAGAATTTTCCAGATATCCGGTTGGACAGGTGTTGAATCATTCCTATTACACGTATTCAATCTCAGTTGATGCGATAAACAAAGCTTCTGTTATCAGTCTCTCCCTCCACCTAGCTGTTACATTAGATTTTAAAACTGTCATCCTATCCCATCCTATTGTGTGGTTGTGTGTAACTGCATGTAGTGCTATAGCTGAACTATTCTCTAGATTTCTTATCTCATTTGGATCAACTAATCTAGATTTTGCAGCTAGGATTTTGTGGTCGGCTTGTTTGCCTGCACCTGTTCTACTACTTTGACCTATGTATTTGACCTGACAATCATTCCAGCAGTGTATTAGATAAACTAAATTGTTTTGTTTTAAAGGTTCTACAGGATTGATCCTTTAACCGACAAAACTTGTTTCTAATTGAGTTTGTGGGTTTGAATGCCAGCCATTTTTATTTCTGCCAGCATTGTTAAGAATTCTACGTAAGGTTTCCTAGGTTCCTTACCTGTATGGAATTATTATTGATGATTTAGATTCCTTATCTTTGGTATTGTCATTATCTTGTGCATGTTTAACACGCATCTGGTCATTAATAATAATAATAATATTATTATTATTATTATTATCACTATCACTACTATAGTTATTTACTTTATTTTTACATTTCCCTACATACTTCCTGATTAATTTGTCAGGGTAAATATTAAGTTTCAAAGCTGCTCTTATGTGCCTCACTTCCTGTCTTAGATTTTCCTTGGTACTACTTATTTTTTGTGCTCTATCACTTAAATATTTCACCAATCCTATATTTAGTGACAGGATGGGATGATTGGAAGTTCAAATATCTATTTAAATGTGTGGGTTTCCTGTAAACACTAGTGTGTTTAACTTCCCATGTTATTTCCTTTTTACGCTACAATCGAACATTGGAAGCTCCCCTTCCTGACTTTCCAATTCATAAGTCAATTGAATTGCCTCCACCTTTGAGTTAATGTGTTCGAAAAATCTGTCTTTATCCTGTGTTCTTAGTACAGTGAATGTATAATAAAAATGATTCAACACCTGTCCGAGATATCTAGTTATCGTACTACCCCAACGACGATGAATAGGGGAGAACAAAGAAAACTATAAAACTCAAGTTTCGAAGTCGTGTGATTATAATTGATGATATGATTATGAACAATAAATTTTGTTCGAAATGTCATCCTGTAAACTATAATACTGTTTCACTCACTGTGTGATATATCTAATAATCAAACTAATATGGAATTACTTACTACCACAGTGCTCAAGTTTTACACATATATTAATAATGCAATTAGATATATCAGCCGTATACATATATATATATATCACGCGAAGTGTAAGCCCTTACATAAGTGTGTGTGTGTATTACAGCCTTGTGTATATTGATCACTGGGGACCAGAATTTACAAATGTTCTATTTTCCATGCCTAAGCAGTAATTAGTAATACTTCTTTCATTTTCACAATTCCCTCAGGCTACTTATGCTATTCTGGATCAAATTTTACATTCAGGTCCACCTGAAGATATTCTACTTCCGTATGCAAGATTACCGCAAGATTCAATGGATAGTTTATGGCCGGCATCGGCTAAACTACTTTCAGATATTCAATGCAAGGCTGGCTTATCCGATTGGTTGAATTGTTCACCAGGACATTTATGTGCATGGCCGCATCGTTTCACTCATTTAGTCAATTACGGTGGACGTTATTATGCTTATTTAATGGCAAGAGCTGGAGCTGATCTAATATGGAGGCGTTATTTTTCCAAAGACCCCTGGAATTCTTCCAGTGGACAGGTAAATTTAATGCAACTTTGCTGTTCGAATTGTACTCAGCTAGTGATTTAAGATTTTCACTGTGAAAATATTCCTTATTGTGAATATATATATTATTATTATTGTTTCCTTTAATTCCCAGAGGAACATAGGGCTTCAGCCACCCGTCTCCATTGCGTTCGGTTCTCTCCTAGAGTGTTAACCTGGTTCCAAGTCTGCTCACACACTTTCATCTCCTCTTCACATGACCTCCTCCAAGTCACCCTTGCACTGACGGCCAACTCGCCGCTTCCCTTTCGGGTTCCAATCAAGCGATGGCTTGTCTAGTGATGTCACTTAATGGTTTCCTCAGAGTATGGACAGCCAATCCATCTCCATTTCTTCCTGCCTATTTGTTTCACAATCGGTTCCTACTGTGTTGGTTCGCTCATTACCAGAGATCTCTGTTGCTGATCTTCTCTGGCCAGCCATCTGATCTTGAGTAGTATTGAGCGAAGACAACTGTTAATGAAGGTCTGTAGTTTGTTTGAGATGCTCTTTATGACGCGCAGTGCAAGTCTCTGATCCGTATTGTGAGTAGCACTGACTGACTTCACATTGGAGTTGAAAATCCGGATCTTACTATATTCATGCTGAGTGCTGTTGACCTCCACACAGACTTGAGAGTAGTGAAAGCTTGTCTTGCTTTTCCGATTCTTGCTTTGATATCCTCGTCAGTTCCGCCTGCAGTTGAAACGATGCTTCTCAGGTAGGTGGGTAGGTAAAAGAGGTTGTTTCTTTCAGGTTCCCTCCATTTATGCTGATTGTTGTCTGTTGTCTTAATGAATTTGTATGTGCCTTAGCTAGGCTTAGCTCTGTGTGCGTGTGTGTGTGGATAGAGAGAGAAAGGGAAAGAGGAGAGTACTGCTTCGATTGCATTTGGATGTTGGTTGACAGGTGGCCAGATAATTAACAAACTGGTAAAGCTTATTTGTATTTGAGATGTTTACGCAGGAGACGGTTAATGCCCCATTTCCGTCGTACTAGTATTTTAATCCTTTTACGTTTTTTTTCTGAGTAGTTACAATCTTTTTGTGCTGATCTTTTGTTATTCCCACTCACTTTTGTTACTATTATTATTATTGTTATATGATATGATGGTTTCAGCATTCATTGATAATTCCAAGGTTTTCATCTGTCAAAGATTTATGACAGGCGGGAAGTTGACAGTTGAGAGAAGAGGCTGTTTCTCGGGCGATGAATTCATTTTCTTAAATGTACTATCCTATTAATAATATACGATTGTTTTCCACGAAATTGGGCGGTAAAAACACTGATTAGTTGTTATAAGATTATCAACAGGGTAGGATCTCTGGGGGCGAACTAATCCAACAGGGTTTCCACGAAAGTGGGTGGTAAAAGCACTGATTAGTTGTCATAAGATCAGCAACAGGGTCTTCTGGGAGCAAACCAACCCAACAGGGATTGGCCATACTCTGAGAAAACAAACCACCATCAAGTGACATCACACACCAGGCCATTGCTCGAGTGGAACCCGAAAGGGAAGTGGCGAGTTGGCCGTCCAAAGGTGACTTGGAGGAGGTCATGTGAAAAGGAGATGAAAGCGTGTGAGCAGACTTGGAGCCAGGTGAAGACTCTAGCAGAGAACCGAACGCAATGGAGACGTACGGCTGAAGCTCTATTTTCCTCTAGGAGCTAAAGGAAACAATAATAATATAATAATAGTTGTCATAACCACCCTTGTAGAAACTAATCAAAATATAAGGGTGTTAGAGTTACGTAGTAAGATAAATAACTTAATGAATGAGTTGTAAGCAAGATGCACAAGATGAAACGAAGGCAAAACTGATGTGATTCAAGAGGAGTGATTAGGAGTTGACAAACAGACAGACAAACAAAGAAAAATCGAATTGGTACAAAACAAAGCAAGCTTGTTCCAGTGAGTAGTAGGAGTGTTTGTATAATTTTTCTCTTGTATGCATAGCTGTGATTTTTCAATGTGAATGACTAGAGCTTCACTGATATAGAGGGGACGAAGGCGTATTGACTTTGGCAGAGGATTCTTCACTTTGTGGGATTACTTTGAAGACGAAGTTTATTGGGATCGAATGACCAGTATTGACAAGGTGTTCAACTCCTCTTATGCATTGGTCGACACATTGATCAACTATGGTTATGATAACTCCTCAGTTTTTGTTACTATCGTCTTTCATGAAAAAGAATACGATTGTACAGCTAGCTAAAGGAAAGAAGGAATTCGTCGCTGAAAAGAGCCTCTTCTCTGAACTACTTGTTTTTTGTTCTTTTCATCAAAATGCCTGGATTAGGGATTGTTCATAAATACAACACAGGTTAGTCAATGGTTGTCAAAATGTGTCATGTCCGCTAATAGGTGTTCTTGTTTTTATCTCCCTCTCCTTTGCTTCATTTTTAGGTTTATGTTGAAAAATTACTCTCGCGTGGAGGTGAATATCCTGCAGGCAATATGCTCTCCGATTTACTTGCAGTGAACCAATCGGATTCCAGTCGACACCACAGCGAAGTCAATAGTGCTACTACTGCTACTACGACGAGTGATAATAATCCTCTTGTCTTATCACCGGTCAAATTAGCTGAAGGTCTAACAGATCAAATAGAAGAAATTGAGACAGCTTCAGCCTCTGTATTGAATCGTATTCACTCGCCTAGTTTATTCAGACCAGAGATATACAGTTGATCAGAAGTTAGAGACGGTCACAACTACTAGTCTGTTGGTTTTGTAAATAGTCGCCAACTAAATTATTTTTTATATGATTGATTGTATGTATACAAACATAATAATCTTAGCGTGTTCACCTCTATAATGAACTGAAATAAAAGCAGAAAGTGATTGATTATTGAGTGTTCTATACAACTGCAGCCTTAACACGATTGCCCATACACTATAATTTGGAAGTTGTTCACTTCAGGTCTATTTTCAGTCGATAACCACTAATTCTAGATTACTAGCTCGCTAGTTTTCTAGCCGATCCCAAGCCCGGATAAAGAGGGAGGGTTGGGGCGTGGTGTTAGCAACTCCACCCCCAAAACTTAACCAAATTGCTACAGAAACTTCAACGCATAAATATATTAAAAATATCAACAGTAGCCTGGAATCGGGGAAGTGAAATGACGCAGGCTGGTGAAAGCCTTCGGGAAGCCAGTCAGCTGATGTGCCTCCTTTCGATGAAAGAAAAAATAAGGATCGGGACGTGGAATGTTCGTACAATGTACGAGGCTGGAAAGGCTGCCCAGGTAGCCACAGAAATGAGAAGATATGGAATAGAAATGTTGGGAATCTGCGAGAGCAGATGGAACGGATGTGGAAGATGCCAACTATCAACTGGGGAGATAGCAATCTATTCTGGTCACCCAGAGGAAACCACGAGCATACCGAGGGAGTGGCAGTCATGATGTCACCAGCAGCAGCCAAAGCTCTCATGCAGTGGGAAACAATCTCCTCCAGGATAATGACACCTAGGTTCATGCTCCTGTCGACGCCAAGTAAAATTCGGAGTCGTATCATCCTGGAGAGAATAAAGGACGCACTGGATGCAGAATTCCGACCAGAACAAGCTGGATTCAGGAATGGCAAATCATGTTCTGACCAAGTTGCAACTCTACGCATCATCATCACAGAACAAAGCATGGAATGGCAATCAGACCTCCACCTCGACTTTATAGACTTTGAGAAGGTCTTCGACAGCGTTGACCGCGAAGTAATCTGGAAACTACTCGAGTACTACGGCGTACCCCAAATATCCATCAACCTTATTCAACAGCTGTACGACAGCGGCACATGTCAAGTGATCCACAACGGAAAACTCAGCGAGGCGTTTGGAGTGAACACAGGAGTCAGAGAAGGGTGCTTATTATCACCAATGATATTCCTAATTGTGGTGGACTGGATTATGCGTCAGACAGTGGGAAACAACAAAATTCGGACTTTCAATACAAACGTCAAGTCAGTCAGTTCTTCTATACGGATCAGAAACTTGGCGGGTCACAGAGAATATTTCCAACAGCCTATTGCAGACCTTTATCAACAACAACTGTCTTCGCTCTTTACTGAAGATCAGATGGCCGGAAAGAATCACCAACAAGAAACTATGGGAACAAACAAAACAAGAACCAATCGCCCACCCAACAAATATGCAGGAGAATGTGGAGATGGATTGAACACTCGCTGAGGAGGCCGCTGGGTGACATCGCGCGTCAGGCCATCACTCGAGTGGAACCCGAAAGGGAGGCAGCGAGTGGAACGTCCAAGGGTGACATGGAGGAGATCGCATGAAGAGGAGTTGAAACAGTATGGAATAACATGGATGCAGGTGAAAATTACAGCAGAAGACAGAAGCAATTGGAAACGTGTAGTTGAATCCTTATGTTCCACTAGGAAACCAAGGGAACAATAATAATAACCACTACTTCAACATGATATTTGGGTTCAAATACCGCAATTCCAGTGTCATATAACTTCAATGAATGTTGTTGAAAGTCTCAATTGCCTGAAATTCTCGGATGAGTAGCACTTGACTCAAAAGTGACGTGTTTATACTATAGCAGTAAAGTAAGCGTTAAGTCGTACTGTTAAATAATAATAAGGAATGTAGCTACGCTAAAATGTTCCCCTCAGATAAACATTTTCACCGGCCTTATCATTTGCGTAGGTGATCCGTGACCGACAGTAAGATTTCTCAATGAATGGAACTCTGAAGATTCATTTCAATGTCTAGAATTCTGTGTATGTGATCGCCCTTAAAGTAGTTTTTCTTTGGGTTCTCTAATCACACAACACTAATTATCCTGCTTGTGTTGACGGTGGTTTAAGCAAACTTTCTTGTTCTTGGGCAGTCAGCACAAACAGTCATTCTGTAAAGCTTACTTTCTGTGTCTTGAAGTTAGTGAGGGGACAAGCAGATGATAGCGAATCAAATTTGTATTGTAGTAGACGGTTATTGTCTTGGGTCGGTATGATTTCCTCTTCTACCTTGTCATGTATATGCAGTCAAGTCTCCTTTCGTAGTATACACTAGTCAGTCGAGTTGGTAAAATCAACTGTTTGTTTTTGACATAGAACTGTGCACATATGTGCGGCAGTTCAAGTCGTTACACTCCATGTAGCATACAAAGCAAGAGAAGAAAGTAGAAGAAATGCATAATATAGACAGTAAACAGAGGTGTGAGACAAAGGAATAGTAGTAACGAAGAACAATATAGTTTCATTGGAAATCATAAGTCACAAGGAGTGGATGCATCTGCGCCAGCCATTGAGAACGATCACTTTGAGCCATGTCACCAATTGTTTCCAGCTTCCATTGGTTTTTACCGTCCCGAGGACCCCAACCAGGAAGTCTACACCTTCCTACGTGACTTAAACTAACTGTTGTAGATTTCATTGACTGGTGCCATGTTTTGGTTTGACCACCGCTAGCTCTTTTCCAGCCTGACCCTATGTCAGGTAAAATTGCCCGTCGATGAAGGCGATGGCTAGGCATACGTAACACATGTCCTAACCATCTCAGTCGATGTAATTTCACAGTCTCGTCGATTGATTTCCCCTCCTTACCTAGCACTCGACCGAGGCCTAACCTCAATATTGCTCACCTTATTATACCACTTCACACGGGAGATAGAACGCAGACACCTATGATCAAAGACAGCTAATCTTTTCATGTCTTCCACTCTCAATGGTCAGGTCTCACAGCCATAAAGGAGGACGGAGTGGACTGATGAGCAGTACACACGCCCTTTGGTCGATAGTCGGATATCACGTCTACGCCAGAGACGGCGTAAACTGGTATATGCGAAACTAGCCCTCTGTATTCGTGCTGAGATTTCGTCAGAGATCAACCCGTTGGGGCTGATGGTACTTCCCAAGTAAGTGAAGCGGTCAATGTGCTCTACCACTTCACTTCCTATTTCTAATCTAGGAGTCGGTGTAGTCCAATCCTGTAACATCATCTTACATTTTACAGGGGCGAATCGCATGCCAAACATACGAAGACTGCTGCTCAAGGTGTTCAGAAGACTCTGCTGGATTTTGTCAGCGTCCTCGCCTAGAAGGACTATATGGTCTGTATATTCTAAGTCAACGAGATTATTCCCTGGTGGTAACAAGTCAATCCCTGAGTCTCTGAAGTGAGTTAGGGTTAAGTCCATTAGTACATCTATGATGAAATTGAATAGAAATAGGGATAGTGGGCATCCTTGACGGACAACACTAGTCGTCACCACTTCAGATGACAACTCGCCATAAGCCCTCACCTGGCTGCATGAGTAGAAGTAGAGTGCCTTAATCAGTGCAATGTATTTTCTCGGCATTCTCTTTACAGCTAAACATCGCCAGAGAACCTCTCGATATGTAGCTGAGCCCTGCAATATTCATCTTCACTATAACCGTTAGAGGGACTTTTTGTTTGTATTTTTGTTCTTGTCTGACTTTGGTTCGTCTGAAATTCAGAACAAAATCTGTTTGTTCTTCAACATTTGACTAGTTTATTTTTATCAAAATTTAGGGTTATAGATAGATAGCTAGGGTCATTGGTAAACTGTAATAAACCTGAGGATAGTAAGCAATAAACATGAGAATAATGAGTCATCATTTAGGTGAAAGAATTAATCAGCAGTTGGGTTAAACAATATATTACAGTGAATATTAGACAGTATTCATTCTAGGTGGGGAGAAGGGATGCGTGTTAGGTACATTGCTTTGAACTTATTGACTTCTCGACGACGACTAGAAGTCATCTTAATGATCTTTGTGTGTTGATCTGTCTTGCTATATCTGCGCCTCGACCACATATTTTCCACCACACCTTAACCTCACTCGCTCTAGCCTGATGACCAGGATTCTCTTAACGCCTCCAAAACGAATGGAGCAAGAATGTGACAGTGACGGCTTTTAAGGGAAGTGTTTAGATAAAGACAGTACTGAAATAGAGTGTTAGAGAGTGAAGTAGTATGTGGATACGTAAGGACAGCACAATGCATCCACCATACTCTTATTCCTTCAAACACTAATAGAGATAAACCAAATGAACAAGGAGGGTTAGTTACTCAGGAATTTATTCATTTCATGCGTTTCTTTAATCCTCCACAACATAATGTGATAGGAACATAAAACTAAGATATTGTATGAATGAAAAATGCAAATCTTTAGTTAGACGGATCAGAGTCTAAAGGTGAAACGATTGGTAGTTGATAAGACAGCTGAACTTATCGGTAAAATCAATCAAGCAGGAAATTTAATATAGTTTCAGTCACTGCCAACTCAACAGTTTGATGGTGTCGTGAATGAGGAGTTTAGAAGAAGATAAGCTGTCGGTGTCAGGTTTGAGTTTCATTGGGAATGTGATGAGTTACTGGAGTATGGGAAATCAGGCAGGCAGTCAGGTAGACACACTGAGCTAACAGGTCGAAACATTCCTACGTGATTCAGCTGCTAGACACCACCAATCCAATTACATGCAGATACCTTTTTTTCATTCAACCAATTGTGCCAAAATAAATAGCCAGAGAAGAGGATCTAATTGAAAAGTAAATATTTCTTCGCTCAATCTTTTGTGTTTTCCAAATGTCTAAATGGGGATATTTTCTATATTGAAATAGCTTTCTGTCGGGAGTCAGTAAATGGTCTGAGTCTAACGGTCTTAAACCGAATCCTTCTAAATGTCAAACTGTTAATTTCAGCTTAAG